CTGTGCCCAACTCCTGCTATCAGGAGGATAGCCCTACTTCTGTATCAGTCGGTTTTCACACTGCTACACTTACTACCTAAGACTGTGTAATTTATGAAGAAAAGAGGTATAATTGACTCACAGTTCCACAGGCTTAACAAGCAGCATGACTGGGAGGCCTCAAGAAACTTACAATCATGGCAGAAGGTGAAGGGGAAGCAACACATCTTACGATGGTGGAGCAGGAGGGAGAGAGCCAAGAGGGAATGCCACACACTGTTCAACCGTCAGCTCTCACGAGAACTCACACACTCTCACAAGAACAGCAAGGGGGAAATCTGCCTTCATGATTCACTCACCTCCTCCTGTTTCAGGCCCCTCCTCCAGTCTGACATGAGATTTGGCCAGAGACACAAATGCGAACCATTTTATATCTCCCTTGAAGTAAGTCTTATTGCCCTTATTATATATGTAAAGTAATCAAGGTTTAGAAAGGATAGTTAATTTGCTCAAGGACACATAGCTGGTTGATGGTGGGATCAAGATTCTTTTAACAGACTCTAAAAGTTATACTCTTTCCTTTTCATAACAATGTATTTTAAAAAATGGGTAGATATGCTGAAAGTTTATCAAGTTTTATCACTAAAACTTGGGGTCACTGAAGTAAAACTATCTTTCACTAACTATCTGTAAATTGATAGTCAACTATTTTAGGAAGTTAAGTGACCCACCAGCCTTCATATTTAGCATGAATCAATTTAATTAGTTCCTTCAGTGTCTTCAGACAAATGGAAGTTTTCTTAAAGGGGATGGAATAAAGGAAGAAAGAGGGGTTTGTGCAAAAGGAGGTGGGAATAGATCTCAGAAAGGATGCTGTTGAAATGAAGGGGCCCACTTTTTTTAAATGAAATTGATTTTTAATTCAGTTAAGAGAATAAAAGAGATGAAGTATGCAGTTGTATTTTCTTTTTTACTTACCTACATAATTATCTTTACCAGCACTTTTTTTTTAATGCGTAGATTCAAACGGTATTGTGTGGTGTCACTTGCTTTCCGCCTGAAGAACTTCCTTTATTATTTCTTGTAAAGCAATCTGCTCCTAACAAATTTTTCTCCGCTTTTGTTTATCTTGGATGTTTTTATTTTACCTTTATTTAAAACTAGCCTGTTTCTTCCAGAGATTTAAAAGCTCACTTTGTATTTGTTTTCTTTAACCTTTTATTTTAGGTTTGGGGATACATGTGAAGGTTTGTTACATACGTAAACTAGTGTAACAGGGGTTTGTTGTACAGATTATTTCATCACCCGGGTTAAGGCCAGTACCCAATAGTTATCTTTTCTGCTCCTCTCCCTCCTGTCACCCTCCAGCCTCAAGTGGACCTTACTGTCTAGTGTCTGTTGTTACCTTCTTTGTGGTCATGAGTTCTCATCATTTAGCTCCCACTTATAATTAAGAACATACAGTATTTGGTTTTCTGTTCCTGGTTCCTTCAGCATGGATGGAGCTGGAGGCTATTATCCTTAGCAAACTAACTCAGAACAGAAAAAGACATCTCGTTCTTTTCTGTGGCTGCATAGTATTCCATGGTGTATATATCCCACATTTGCTTTATCCAATCTGTCATTGATAGGCATTTCAGTTGATTCCATGTCTTTGCTATTGTGAATAGTGCTGCAATCAATGAACATTCGCTTGCATGTGTCTTTATGGTAGAATGATTTATATTCCTCTGGGTATATGTCCAGTAATGGGATTGCTGGGTTGAATGGTCATTCTTCTTTTAGCTCTTTGAAGGATCTCCATACTGCTTTCCACAATGCTTAAACTAATTTACACTCCCAGCAACAGTGTATGTGTTCCTTTTTCTCCATAGCCTCACCAACATCTATTATTTTTTGACTTTTTCATAATAGCCATTCTGGCTCATGTGAGATGGTATCTCATTTTGGTTTTGATTTGCATTTCTTTAATGATCCATACATAATACTAAACTTTTTTCATTTGCTTGTTGGATGCATGTGTGTCTTCTTTTGAAAAGTGTCTGTTCATGTGGGATCCAGGTTTCATACAGCAAAGAGAAGCAGGCACAGGTGCAGCCTCAGGTTTCTTTACATTGATTCAGAGTTTGAGCTGGTTTCACAGTTTTTTTTTTTTTTTGAGACGAAGTCTCGCTCTGTTGCCCAGGCTAGAGTGCAATGGCGTGATCTCGGCTCACTGCAACTTCCGCTTCCCAGGTTCAAGCTATTCTCATGTCTCAGCCTCCCGAGTAGCTGGGATTACAGGTGCCCACCACTGCACCCAGTTAATTTTTGTATTTTTAGTAGAGACGGGTTTTTGCCATGTTGGTCAGGTTGGTCTTGAACTCCCGACCTCAGGAGATCTGCCCACCTCGGCCTCCCAAAGTGCTGGGATTACAGGTGTGAGCCACCACACCCGGCTGTTTCACAGTTTTGACTCACAGTTTTCTTTGTGTTGAGGCTAGGTGAGTTCCTGCTAACAGCTCTGTACCACACACACACACAAATCACTCAGTATCACTCAAGATTAGTTCTGTTTTAATGATGAACTTAGCATTCATACATATATAATCTTAAGAGTAGTTATAGTTTGTGGATGAACTTACATATGACCCTAAGATCGCATCTCTTCTGCCAGGCACAGTGGCTCATACCTGTAATCCCAGCACTTTGGGAGACTGAGGAAGTTAAGTGACCTACCGGCTTTCATATTTAGCGTGAATCATGGGCGAATCATGAGGTCTGGAGATCGAGACCATCCTGGTTAACACGGTGAAACCCAGTCTCTACTAAAAAATATAAAAAATTAGCTGGGTGCCTGTAGTCCCAGTTACTTGGGAGGCTGAGGCAGGAGAATGGCGTGAACCTGCGAGGCGGAGGTTGCAGTGAGCCGAGATTGCACCCCTGCACTCCAGGCTGGGGCAACAGAGCGAGACTCCATCTCAAAAAAAAAAAAAAAAAATCTCATCTCTTCTGACAAGAACAATATAGCACATTGGCTTAAGTGCCACATGGAAGACTTGTTAGACCAATCAATGTCTTCTAGATTCTATTAGAAATGCTGTTTTTTAAATGTCTAGTTGGCAATTTTCAATGGCTTGTTTCAAGATTAGCGAATTATTGTGGACTCTGCACTGCCTTGCTTGTCGTCTCTCATACTGTGTGTAACATGTATTATATGTGTGTATAACATATATCCTTCCTGATATTATGGTATTTCTGTATAGCACAGAGTAATTCTTCTATCCACATTAATATGTTTTTACATTTATGAATTTTGAATCTTTCCATGCATTTGTTTTAATTTTACTGTTAAACTGTTAAAATGGGCCAACATGACACCACACATCCAAGGAAGTGAAAAATATGTCAGTGAATGAAAGAATGCTTTTACCTTGCTTTCATTTATTCACCAAGGAACTGTCCATACTTGCCTTTAGGTTGCCATGTAGTTGAATCTTCTGTCTTTAGTTTCTCTTAAATGTTCTCTTTTTTTTTTCCAGGTGAGACCAGGGCAGGTAATGTGCTGAACTGACAATAATTTCTTTATTTTAAGATACATTTCAAGAGACTTTCCCAGTGCTATTTCAATTCAGCAACAAATATTGATATCTGTGTGTGCTCCTAGTTATTAGGCAATAGAGGCAGACAAACACAAATGAATGCTTTATGTCCTTTGAGGGCTCACAATCCATTTGAGGTGGAGAGAGAGATAAATTCCTTTTTTTTTTTTTTTTTTTTTTAGACGAAGCCTCTCACTGCCGCCCAGGCTGGAGTGCAGTGGTGCAATCTCCGCTCACAGCAACCTCCACCTCCTGGGTTTAAGCAATTCTCCTGCCTCAGCCTCCCAAGCAGTTGGGATTACAGATGCCTGCCACCATGCCTGGCTAATTTTTTGTATTTTTGGTAGAGGCGGGGTTTCACTATGTTGGCCAGGCTGGTCTTGAACTCCTGACTTTGTGATCCACCTGCCTTGGCCTCTCAAAGTGCTGGGATTACAGGCATGAGCCACTGCACCCGGTGAGAGAGAAATTCTTGACTGTAATACATGACAGACTGTGGCAAGGTCTATAGTAAAGAAGTGATGGCAATACCAGGGAAGAGGAGTTAAGTCCTGCCTGAGAAAAACAGATGAGGAAATATTTAATATGGATCTGAAGGAAGCATAAATTGTCACTTGGTCAATATGGAGAGGGAGGACTTACATTCTAGACAGAAGAGAGAGCTTGAGCAAAAGAGCACAGGCAAGTATAGGGCACGCTCACGGAACGGCAATACATCAGTGAGGGTGGGAGAGGCAAGCGGTGGAAATGGCTTAAGAGAACATGTATGTGAGGCCAAGATTGCACTGGACTTTGAATTCCAGATTAAGGAGCCTGGCCTTATTCATTCTATATTCACTGAAGAGTCCTACAGATTCTGTGTTTCAGAGGGTAATTTTGTTTGTGGTACAGATGAGGAAGAAAAGGACAAAAGACTAGTCAGGAATTAAGAGAGGCAGTTTACATCGATTCAGTTTGAGCTGGTTTCACAGTTTTGAGGAGACAGATTTGATGTATTAGCACATGACGAGGATGAGGGACAGGAAAAAAAACAGAATAGTCCAGAATTTTCGAGTTCAAGTGCTTGGAAATATTCATGCCATGCACAAGCAAAGAAATGGAATTTAGAGAGGTCTAGGATTAGGAGCAAAGACAATGAGAAAAGGGGTTATAGAGCCCCCTTTTTACTTTTGTCATATTTTCTGGCATGGTATACCTTCTAAGACACTGACACATTCTCGTCTTATTCAACCTTCGGTAAGGCATTTTCTCATCTTACAAGATAGTCAGAGGTGATAGAAGTAATGTATCCATTTATTTCTAAAAGATTATGTAAAACAACTTGAACCAGTTTAATTAGGAGAAAAGATTTTGGGTCAAAAGAATTCAGAATTTTCTGCCAAAGAAAATGCAAGTAAATTCACTTTAAATCATTAGCAATTTATTGGGCATTTGTCACATGTAGCAGTAGCTGAAGAGAGTGGCAGTGATGATGATGCAGGTGTAGTTACTTATTTTCATTCAGCCTCTCGACCTGCTGTCATCCTCTTCAGAGCAGACTTCACTTCTTGATTCCTCAGTGTGTAGATGAGGGGGTTCAGGAATGGAGTGACAACAGTGTAAAACACAGCCACTGCCCCATCCAGGGGGCTCTTGGAGCCAGCCCTAAGGTAGATGAAAATACAGGGAATATAGTAGACTGTGACCACAGTTAGGTGGGAGCCACAGGTGGAGAAGGCCCGGCGCCTCCCATCAGCAGTGCGTATCTTCAGGATGGCATGGACTATGTTGGCATAGGAAAGCAGAATTAACATGAAGCAACTGGCGGCCACTACTCCGATGTCCACAAAGGTCACAAGCTCATTGACAGTTGTGTCAGCACAGGCCAGTCTCAATACTGCAGGGATGTCACAGATAAAGTAATGTACCTGATTGGGCCCACAATAGGGCAGGCGGAAGGTCAGGGTGGCCTGGATAGACCCATGAATGGAGCCAGCGACCCAAGCTCCAGCCACAAGGACTGTGCATAACCTCCCATTCATGAGCACTGGGTAGCGCAGGGGCTGACATATTGCCAGGTACCTGTCATAGGCCATCAAGGTGTAGAGGAAGCACTGGGTGCTGCCCAGGAAGTGAAAGAAATACAGCTGAGCCACACAGCCACCAAACGGGATAGCCTTGCTGGCAGGAGTGAAGTTTAAAATAATTCGAGGAACGATGACTGAGGAGAGCCACATGTCCAGGAATGAGAGCACTCCCAGAAGAATGTACATGGGGCGAGCATGGAGCTTCGGGTCAGCCCACACGGTGAGCAGAATGAGCAGGTTCCCCAGCTGCGTGAGGATGTAAATGATGGAGAAGACCAGGAAGAGGAGGCTTCTTAGATTCGGGGGGTTAGACATGCCCAGGAGAATGAAATCTGTCACCACAGTGTCCAGCGATGTGTTTT